ATTTTACGGAGCGCTGAGAGCGATTTTGTTCGTGAAATATCAATACCCAATTTTAATAATAATTAAGTGTTTTAGATTTTAAATGTTATCAGATTAGACCACTCAAAATTATGAAACGAGTTTCGGGAATCTTTCAATATAATTCTTTTTTACAACAATTACTAAACACCATAAAGCCAGTAAATTATATGGCAAATTTACAAATGAAATTAATTTTCAGCTCTAAATTTAAATCTGATCCTTTACTGATTATATAGTAAAATAAACAATCGACCCATGATCCCAAATATTAATTTATATGCTTTGGTGATGCACAATTGTTTGGTAATCGATTATTGTAACTTAATTTGAAGATATGTTTCAACCAGCTTCAAAATTGAATCATTTTTAATAATTTTCAGAATATAATTTTGATAGTAATTCATGTTTTCAATTTTTACTTTGTCAGTTATATTGGTTAAACTAACAATATTGATTATAAATTTGGATCACTTTTACTAAATAAATACATCCATGATTTTTTTTGTCCATATATATAATCAGGTTTTTTTCTGATTCGAATCATTTGAATTGGGAATTTTTCGAGTCGGCATATTACTAATACATATATATATATATATATATATATATATATATATATATATATATAGTACAAATTAATTACACAAATATTTTTATGAATTACTGACTGCTTTTATCTTTTCTCTTACCACTTTGGCAATAATTGACAAATTTAAAAATCCTTCTCAAGAACTTTTAAATGCACAATCCATTTGTCAATCTCCGACAATTCCTGTATCTTTGATAACTGACCACCATCCCTCACAAATTCAGATTTGGATCTGAAAAATCATTTGGATTTGTCTCATTGCTGAAGAATTTTTTAATGATATTTGTTACTCGGCAATTTGGCGGTATAAATTAACAATTCTTGTGCAGAATATATTAATGATTTTTAGTTAATTTTATAGAAATGTATTTTATTTTAAATTTATTTAGGCGTTGCTTTTATTGTACTGAACTGTAAACGTTAAATTATCAAACAGAATTAATTTAAGTTATAAGCAAGATGAGTAAGTTTAAATATTTATATAGAGAACTTTTTTTTTGTCGAAAAAGGTTTTGTCGGTCTTTATGTAAAAAATTAGGTCGATTCTTATGTCGTTTTAATTTTAATCCATAGACGTACACTTTAGAGTATCTTCACAAAATGGTTGGCCTATTGGCAAGTACAAAAATCATATTCTCAATAACACATTCACAATTTCTGTTGATCTTCATCGTCATTTTTTAAGCTTCAAAAAATATTGATGCAAGTTAAAAATTGTTATATAATTGTGGATTAACAAATAATGGACTAAAATTCGAAGTGAACAATAGTGACGACTTGTTTCATATATAAAAGACCGAAAGTTTTTAGTTGTCAATGAAATAGATTATTGATTTAAAAAAAACTAATTTTGCTAATAAAATTTAAATTAAATAAATTTTCAAAACAAGAAACGAGTGAAACCAATAATTTACCTAATTAACATGGTTTATATATAATAAATAAATTTGATACAAATAAAAATTAATTATGACATATAACTTACGTATTGATAGTTTCACCATGAGATGAGTATTTGTTATTTGTGCATATAGAATAGTTTATTTATCTGTCCATAACCTTGATTTATTCGCTGTAGTCAATTTTGTAACTTAAATAATTATTTATATGAGGGCAATAAAAAAAAGTAAGAAACTTTGAAATATGAAATTATGGTATGGAAAATTAAATATGTATTGTCACTTGTTTGCGAGCACGAATTCATGGCATACATAAATTTAGTTGAATCTGAACCCGGCCCTATAATAGTTAGTTTCAAGAATCTATTTAAATTCTTTTAGAATAATTTTTGTCGAATTCAGTCATGTATTAATAAATGTTTATTCCATATCTTCATTCCAAGGAGTAATAAAGTGCTGTTTTATTTTGTATTATGACATTTTTAATGTCTTGAGATCTACTGATAGTAAGATATCTTTTCAATTTCTGCTGCGTAAAATTGTTGAATCTCAAATCTGAAAAATAAACAATATGAGAAGTATGAAAAAAATTGTTGTATAAAACTTGAATTAGGAAGGATAAAAGGCAAATTTGGGTTTTTTTTAATTTGACAATGTTACTGTGAAATTCTCGATCACAATTTTCTACCTTGTAGTGGTACTAGATCACCAGAAAATAAAAGAAAATTTAACAGTGCGTGCAGAGACAATTTAATAATAAACTAGTGGGACGCATGGCATCGTGCTTCAAGGCAAATTGCTGGAACTTTCCGTACCGTAATTAAACATTCGAGGAATGAAAATAATCAATAATTGTTTTGAATAATTTTATTAACAACTTATGTGTACGTTTACAAAAGTCCATTTTTTCTATTTGATTTTTTTGATAATTTAGAAATTTTTTGATAATTTAAAAAAAAATTCTAAATTTTGATAATTTTTCGAAAATTAGAATTTTTTGAAACTTTAGATTTTTTTTGAAAATTTTGTTTTTTTTTTGAAAATTTTCAAAATTTTTAAATATTCTGTAAAAACATTTGTACCACACCGTCCTTAAGCAAAATGTGTTTTGAATTAATCTAATCGGATGATTCGTTCTCTCAAAAACTTCATAACCGTACAGCCTTTGCGATCTAATTGGTTCACAACGATATGAAACCTGAAGAAAATATAAAATTACACGTCCGCGAATTAAAAAGAATCAAATTCAATAATTATATGTTCATACATTTGTAGTATGTTATTGCCTTTAACTTTCCGTAGGGTAAGTTATAGTAATTATAAAAAATCGACATTGAAATCTTTACGTTTCAAGATCTGCTGCACATTTTGGCATAACTTAATAGAAAGTGGATGTATGTGCATGTGTTTGTATGGATACAAAGTTTTGTCCAAGATTTCGAGAGCACGTATCAATCGATTTGTATGATTCAAGAACCATTCGACTCCTATTGATTGGGAGAGTCGTGCTGATTAGTTTTTGGCAAAGACGGGTTTAGCCATAGTTCAATAAACATAAGTTTAGCTGTTTCGGAGATACAAAGCAAAGTGTGCAAAAAATGACAGTTTTTAAGAGAACGGAGCATTAGATTCGAATGGTTCAAACAACATTTTATTGGTATAGACGTAGTGAATAAGAATAATAGTGAATAAAATAGTGAAGGAGTAATTGAGAAGAAAGACAGGTTCAGCAGTCTCGGAGTTGCAGGAAAAAAAATTCATTTGGTGGTCTGAAATGATCATTACAAATCATTATTATTGATTCATATATAATAAAAAATATTGATATGAGATGTTAGGTAGGCAGGTGGACAGGTAGACAAGTAAACTACATGGTGCGCCATCAATATGTGGACAATGGAAACATTGAATAACTTTGACAGATGTCAAACGATTGTGTGCATAAAGACTTTTTGTAAAGGTTATTCCAATATAATTTCAGCCATGTATTGCTTTACACCCAAAGGACGTGCGTAAATAGTTTATTCTTGCGGCAAAAATTTTCCGGATTTCCGGTGTGATATCGAACGAAGTGGATATCGACTATTCAAGATCGCCCGATTTGACCGCACCAGACTTTTTCTTGTGGGGTTTTTTAAAAAGCAAAGTGTATGCTAATAAACCGAAGACTTTGGACGAGCTGAAGAACAACATTCCCGCTGAAATCGCTGCGATATCGTCCGAGATGCTGGCAAATGTCATGGAAAATTTCGAAAAAAGAGCAAAGTTTTGTTTACGCAATGAAAAGCGTCGTTCGATCGACGTTGTTTTTTGAACCTAACACCTAAAAAAATGTAAGGCTTCAAATTTGATAATAATAAAAGTTTTTTAAAATTCGTTGAAAATTGTTCAAGTTAGTCAACATTTCTATTGACCACATATAAATGACGCACCAGTTAGTAAACTGGCAGAGAAGTAGAAAGATAGACAGATAGACAGGTTGGCACGCAGAGAGGTAAACATGTAGACAGATAAAAAGGTAGAAAAGTAGGCAAGTAGGTAGGTAAACGGATGGACAGGTAGGCATTTACAAACTTAGATAGGTAGTTACTTAAACAGATAGACACTTAGAGGTAGATCATATAAAAATCAAATATTTACACATTTTGGGAAGTTTATGCAACATGCCTTAAGGCAAAACGCCACTTGCATCTAGTTTTTAAAGATTAGGTTTAGTAATTTCAATATTTTTGCATCAAGTAATCTTCAGAAACATTACATCCTGTAGGAATATGGCTCATATTTTAAATATCAACAGTCAAATATCAAAGCATATTAGTTTACACTTAAGAAAGATACCTGTCCACTCTTAGAGGTAGGTAGGTAAACAAGTATACCGGTAGGCAGGTAGATCATATACAAATCAGATTGAATGCATTTAATCAATAATAATTATTGTTGATTAAATTCATTATTACGCATATCGGAATGTGTATGCAATTTGCCCTAAGGCAAAATGCCACTTGCAACTAGTTAGTATAGTGTTTTCAAAATTAAAATGTATTATTGATGGTTTTATATTCAGAAATTCTTATGTTACTTAACATAATATTTATGTTATTTTCATTTTCCAATTTTCTCGTTATTTGCATGAACTATATTAGGCTTTTGAAAACTTCGAAAAGTTGTTAGTATTTAGACAGATAATTTTTAATCTATTCAAAATTATTCTTTTGTTTGGAAAAAAATTAAATTCTTCCGTATTAGTATTGAACTCTTTGATCAATAACGTTTTTGTTGTAACCAATTGAAATCAAACGGGCAAGCATAAATAAATGAAGTAAATAAATAATAAAAAAAATATGTGGCTTCTTATTTATTCTTTTATTCGAATTTGCTTTCATTCAAAATCTGTTATAATAAATAAAATAATAAGTAAATAAATAATAAAAAATATGTGGCTTTCATTCAAAATCTGTTGAAACATGCGTTGTATTATCATCAATATTACTTTAAGTGTCAATAACATAAGTGGTTGTTGGAATAGTTTGATTCCTTTCGCCATCGCACAAATGAAATAGCTCTATTTGTCCCGGTCTCAGTTGATAGGCATCTATTTCCTCCGGACATAATCTATTTAGTGTTGATTTATCAGTTGTAATGCGTGAAATAGTTACTCTTTTAATATGAACTTGGCTATTTTTGGTAATACTTAATGAGTTTCCTTCATAGTTCCATTTAAATCTAGCAGAATTTATGTAATCTATAGACGAAGGTGGTTGAGACCATCCAACGTATGTGTAATTCTCTAGGCATGAATCAATCTTTGTATAAAATCTGAATTCATTTAGAATCATATTGGTTACAAGGTCACCAGTCATCAAATTAACATCAAAATATCCCATAATTTGAGTAGGGTTTCTGGCTTCAGAAACAAAACTAATTTTAAATTTATACAAATCCAAACAATATGTTCCCGATGAGCCCGTCCTAAAGTAGTACTTTGTAGAACAGGGTAAATGAAATAAAGATTCGTTAAAAGGAGTGTTCAATCCAAGTTCAGTGCATGAGGGAGACGTGTTTAAATCACAAGACGTGCAGCTACCTCTTAAAAACATGGTGTAGTTTATTACAGTGAAATCCTATATGATTACAATTTGAATTTGCTATAGATTCAATATAATATTTAAATAATCGTTTGTGAGAACATCCCGGATATATCTGTCCTTCTTTTAGAGAATCCCTCGTCAGTTTCAAGATATGTGGATATTTTTTAGACACGTTGCATCCAGGTTGGGAATAACCGTTGTTTGGGTAAAAATCGACATGGCCGATGGCTTCCATAATACCTTGGCCATTGGGTTCCGCATCTGTATGAATAACTTCTACATAAGTAGCGTCTCCTATATCTAATCTTACTTTTTTGGGCATTCTTTCGAAATAAGGTCCGCTGGGATCAAGACCAGTGATTTTTCCTATAGTTTTATATCCATTTTCCTTAATAGCTGTAAAAATTAATATTATATTATTAATTGACGTATTGAATTCACGTAATTGGAAAATATATTCAAGAACTTAAGCACTAATTTAATATCAAGCCAAAATTTAAATTGTATACATTATCAAATTGCCAATCATATTACTTTTTGTTATTTTTTATATATCCACAATTTTAAATGCGCAATTTATGATTTTCGATGCTATAGAGAAGAGCGGGGCTTGAATATTTGCGGGTAAAAAAGTTCACTAGCACTATCTCAAAAACAAGTCAAGTTAAGAATTTTTTAGCAACGATATTTGAAAGAAAAGGGAAAAAGATGTATTTGAAAATCTATAACAAAAGTATTTTATTTTGTTGTTAGTTTTCTTGATTGTGAGCACTATTGTTCTGTTTACGAGACCTTGATGTAACTTTTAGGTATACGTTATTTAATTGTTTTGTATGATCTATCGTTATTTTCAAGTTAGATTCAACAGTTTTTTATATAACGTTTATAAAAGCTTACATATGAATGAGGTAGAAAGAACCAATGAAACCTTTACCCTGGCAAACAATAAAAAATAGTAGGTATTAAACTAGGCCAAGTTAAAAATGCAATTCAAGATAAATTAATTAAATAGTTATTCCAACTACGATTATTTCTGATAAAATACTAGATTTTATTTAAGTTATTCACAGTGTTATCTCTGTAAAAAATTTACCCATGAAATTTATATGTTGCATTGGTTGAATTATTTTGTGGCTATTATTTTGCTATTGTTGTTTATTATTGGCTATTATTTTGTGAAATCCCTTTAAAATTAAAAATAAGACATCAAATCGTTTGCCCCCTGGTTGTCCCATTTTACGCCGCCTAAAAGGTAAAAGTTAAAAGTACTCTATAAAGCATTTATCATATAATTATAGGGTGAGGGTAAGGCTCAAAGATCCAATTCGACTTTGAGCAATTCATTTTAAATTTTAATAATTATTAGAAAAGTTTGAAAAGCTTTTTTGAATTTGATATTTTGTAAATTGTGTTTAAACTTAATTTACTTTTTTATTTACAAGCAAGCTTTTATGGAGTATATTTAAACAAAAAGCAGTTGAATCTAACTTAAAAATAACAATACTTTTTATAAATTTTTTAAATAATATAGACTTTAAATTATATTATGGTTTTGTAAACTACACAACAGTGGTGAACACTGTGGTGATCAAGAAAACTAACAACGAAAGAAAATATTTTGGTAAGAATTAAGGTGATGGCTGGCTATTCATCTAAAACAAACCTTTTTACCCGCGGTCTTTTGAGTACTACTCTGTGCTATAGAAAAAATATTTGGCCTAACCTTCGCCAACATAACCAGCTATATGAGCACCAACTCCGTGGCCTATTATATGCAGATGTGGAAATTCAAGTCCATAGTGATTGTGTAGCATTTCCACAAAATGTATAATTTCCAATGCTACAAGTCTATGGCTATGGCTTGAGTATACGGTGGTTCAGCACCCTCTTCCCAGTTGACAGATATTACATTTCCTGAATTTGGTACGTCGATTATTGCATGCGCTAAATGCTTAATTCAACCCGTAAAACCGCTACTTGTAAAATCGTGTATTATCATTCTGACTGGCATTCCGGTGACATAGGCAGAAATGTTAACAGTAGAAGGGACTGCCGACACCACTTCGATCAGCAAGGGCTGCTTCTCCTTAGGGCCCTCATGTGAGCCCTCTAGTTGACTATATAGCAAGAACTGGGTGTTGACCGTGTGCCTAGCTAGCGGGAGTTCGTTTACCGGACGATATAGTTTATGATACCACTCAGGGCCGTAACTAACACATCCTAGGCTTAAATAACATGTTTCGATTTCAATTGTACGCTCTGTCGTATTGAATCGATATAAATGTCCAGTTGGTAGGATGCCCATTATGGCACAAAAAAACACAAGACGCATGTGCTCATTCATTATAATTTTGTATAACTGGATAAATAGTTTGGTACGATTTAAACAGTTTAATATAATTTTATAATAGAACTTAAACACTTAAAATACTAAAATCTTTAAACATTAAAAAATATTCAGAAACAGTAATAGAAAATATTGCAAAAAATGCGTTGTTCTTTTTTTAGAGTGAATTTGGCATGTCATTTGGCATCATAAAAAAACAAAATATTGTGACATTCATAATATTGAAAATTATTATATTTATTCAATTTGCAATGATCTTGAAGAAATTTTATGATTTTGGTCTAGTGGAATATTTCCCTACGGGGGAATAATAATCTTTATCTAGAGATGTCAAAAATTTCAAATACGGATACCGATCAGATGGATTTAGAGTGCTCCTCAACCAAAACGAAAACGGTATATACAAGTGCTAACAAGTACAAGAGGTCTAATACAGATATTGTTGAGCAAGATTCTTCACATCAGAATAAGGGCTCAGTTTCTCAAAATGATTTTAATCAAGATAAAGCATCCACCAGCAAGGATTCAAAATAGGTTGAAGTTAGAAACAAAAAAATTTAAAGAAATGTAAATGAAGAACTAACATGCAAGAAAACATCTTCAAATTCAATTTATGGCTAAACCCAACTCCCACCAGCAATATATATATATATATATATATATGAAGTTTTAGCTAATCCTAATACCGCAGACTCAAGTGATGAATGCAGTCCAGTTAACAGACAGCCGCCAATTTTTATACATGATGTACGTGATATCAAACCATTAGCTCAACTTTTAATAATAAAATTAAAAGAAATGGAAATAAGGAAATAAGGTCGACCAAATGAAATGTGTCCTTTGTGATGAAAATCACCCTGCTAACTATAATGCTGTCACGTCTATAAAGGGCACATTGAAAAAAAAACACTTCATTACGTCAGAAAACAACTAATATTCAAAATTTGAATCCATACACTACATTAAGACCAGGTGTAACTTACTCGAATATCACTAGAAACAACACAACTTTACTCAACAAACTCAGTAAACAATAGTAACTTTGAAAACAATACTAACAACAAATCTAATGACTTAACAGAACTTAAAAATATGATTGAAACATTGACAGAACAAATAAGCATAATGCATAATTTACTAACAACAATTTTACCTAATAAAAAAAATTTAATTGGGCAATCATGTTCATGAACTTAAGCATTTTTTGACTATCAAGGACGTTGACATTATGCTAATATCTGAGACGCATTATTCTGAGACAAATCACAATATTCGTTTTTCAAATTATCACACATATACCACAAAATACCCGGACGACAGACCTCACGGTGCCACAGCTATTATCGCCAAGTCAAACATCAAACATTATGAGACAGAACCTTTTTATACTGACTATATACAATCGATAAACGTTTCAATTGACCTAATGTCTCACAAAATTACAGTATCGGCAATCTATTGTCCGCCAAGGCACATAGTTACTGAAAATCAGTTCACAACATTTTTGCCTTGGAAATTTGTTCGTTGTGGGAGGTGATTATAACGCAAAGCACAAATTTTGGGGATCTGATCGGTAAGACTAATAACACCTAGAGGCCATGAATTGTATAATACAATAAATAGTAATAATCACCGGACATTTTCTACGGGTGAGTCCACATACTGGCCAACTGATTTGAACAAAATTCAAGATCTCCTCAATTTTTTTGTAGCCATAAATATTAAAAACTGTTGAAATAAATTCAAGCCTAGATCTCAGTTCTGATCATTTACCAGTATTTCTTAAACACTCCACACATACTGCAACCAACGTTAAGTGTTCGCTTACAAACAAATTTACCGATTGGCATCTTTTCCAAGAATACATCGAAAACAATCACAACTGTAATATTCTACTTTACAAATACACTAATTACAACTTTATAAATACACTAATTACAACATCTAAAATATCGACTCCTATTCTAAATCGTATTCACGGTTACTCTGTGGCCATAGATATTAAAAAAGTCATTGCAAAGAAAAGAAAATTAAGAAGAATTTAACAAACAACTAGATCACTAGAAGATAAAAGAAAATTTAACTCTGCGTGCAGAGACCTGAAAAATTTAATAATCTATCATATAAAAATAAGTCGCGTTTTCCTTCCTGACGATATAACTCCAGAACGCACGAACCGATTTCGACGATTTTGCATTCGTTGGAAAGATCTCGGGCTCCTTGAGGTTTATAGCAAAGAAAATTGAAGAAAGATTTCAACAGAAAAACTTTTTCTTTTTCACATACAGCACATTTTTGATACTTAGCACGTACTGCAAACTAATATTTTTTGTTCGACTGCCACTCATTTGTTTGACAGCTACTCATTGTTTTCTGCTCAGTTAATTTCATGTGACAAACCGGCATTGTATTCACTGTGAAATTGTGCAAAAAGAGTAAAAAAAATAATTCGTTTCCTAACATTTCAATTCGAAACCATCAAATCAATCATGTGTATTGTGCAAATTTTTATTCAATTTCAATAACAGGCAATTTTATTCTTTATTTTTTAATCACCAAACGCAATGTTACATAAAATGAAACCATCTGGTGGTGAAACGGAGTTCGCCCGGTTTGCTAGTTAATTATAAAAATGATTCTTTTGAAAATTACTTAAATAATCTTTCTGCAAGTAGTGAAACAATTTATTCTCTTTGGAAACAACGAAAAAATTAAAAAGACCAATTGTACCAATTCCTCGATTAAAAAAATAGACGGATCATGGGCAAGGAGTCCAGAGAAAAAAAACTGATGCAATCGCCGAACGCCTGCGCCTCACATTTCAGTCATTTTTACGTAATGCAACTCCAATGATGAACAATTCATTTATGTTTTTTCAGGACCTGCCGTCGCTAGTAACTCATAATGTTAATCTTTTGCTGTGGTTGAAAAAAGTCAAGAAATTTAAAAGCAAATTCTAGAAAATGTTAAAAGAACTTCCCAGAAAAGCTATTAGAATGCTCACAATAACATACAACTTTATACTGAGATTGAAAAATTTTCCGCAGTCGTGAGGAAGAGAAAATAATCTTTATAGTCAAACCAGGAAATGACCCTCATTTATTATCTTCCTACAGGCCGATTAGTTTATTGTCTTGCATATCCAAAATAATTGAAAAGCTAATTCTTCGCTGCGGAGGATAGAAGCCATTAGCGCAAAATCAGTTCATATGACTTTCACGCTTTGCACTCAAACTTTCCCCGCAGTTGTGCTCAATGATGCAATTATTCCGCCCAAAGAATCAATAAAGTATCTCGGCATCTACTTAGACAGGAAACTGAACGGGAAAATACTATTAAATTCTTCTGTAGCTTGCGACTATATTGCAGAGGTATACTGGCACGTTCCTGTCACGGAGTGCATTCATAATGCAATCCCAGTTTGCAGAATAGAAATCATTTTTTATATCCAATATAGCTACTAGACAGTACTTCTTTGCATCCCCCTTCCATCTGGTTCCAGAAATTACTTCCTTGGCGGTATTAACTACCAAGTTTATAGCATCGATAGTTGATCGCCCTTTGCGAAAACCATACTGATTGTCTGCTAGGAGTGGGTCAACACTGCATCTATTCTTTGGTGAATTATTCTTTAAAAAAATTTACCCGCTGTATCCAGCATGTTTATCGGACAGCAGGATGATGGTTCATTGGTGTTTTGTTCCTTTGGGAAGAAGCACTTATCTTTGCTGTTCCCATTTACGTGGAAAACCTCCTTCTTTTAGATATGTATTATAGGCATTAAGAAACATGTCGGAATGTCATAAATTATGTTTTTAAGGCGATATTAGGAATTCCATCTAATCCCGTTGCTTTACTATTTCCAACTCGTGTATGTGTGTGCGGATACAAATTTTCGTCGACGATTTCTGGAACACTGATCAACCGATTTGAACAATTCGATTAGTTTTTTAGGCAAAGTCAGGTCTAGCCGTACAAAAGATATGGAGCAAAACGTGCCAAAAACGGTAACTCAGTTTTTAAGAGGTCGAAGCGTCCGATTTTAATAGTTCAAAAAACATTTTACTTCGACAAGATGAATCGGTGTAGGTTTTGACCGATAACAAACCAACATAACATTTTTATCTATTCATATATATATATATATATATATATATATATATATATATATATATATATATGAGGTATTTCTAAACAATTTCTAGAGAATCAAATCAAACATATAAACCCCAAAGTGTACTTGTTCTTATTATATAATTATTTAATATATAACAATATTCGTTTTATCATATTTTGTTAATACATCAAACGGGAAGTTTTATCCACTTTCTGGGGAAGACATGGTATAATCCATCCATTCTTTTTTGGTCTTTTGACTTGTCCAGTCACCCATCCAAGTGTAAACTTTGGAAGTAGTTAGATAAAAAAATGTGATCGATGTCTGACCGTGTCTAAAATGCATAGGTTTTGACATATCGTTTGCAAGGAATTCCAAAATTATAGTTCATTTGTCAAGCCTTAAAATAAAAACAAAACAAATCATTTTTTGCTAAACTCGTTCTAATACAGGAACTATAGATACATTAAATATGATGCGTTCTATACAACTAATTTTCAGAATATTTTATTCCAAAGAACTTGTAGGTAATTTTGTGCATTGATGTTATTGACATTTTTACAGGTGTGTATTTCAAAGCAAAAAGTATTTAAATTGTTGACTGTTATAACTCGATTAACTATAAATTAATTCGACTTCCTTTTCAATTGGTTCCAAATTTAGGATCTTAATTTAAACTAGTGGTGCATGCCATCATGCCTTAAGGAAAATTGCTGGAACTACCCGTACTATAATTCTGTAATCAAACATTCGAGAAATGAAAATAAATTATAATTGATTTAAATAATTTCAAATAGATAAATGAATACTGCAAGTTCATAAGTGCTTATTAATTGGGCGA